TATATATATATTAATCTTCTGTACATAATTTATACAAAAATAACCTTTTTGTAATCATTTAACTGTAATTTATTATGCAGTCCACACAAGGACCAGTTTATTCAGAAGATTCTCAATTTTCTGATAAGCCTATCTGCCCCTGGCTATTACCTTGGTTGTTTTTAATTTACAAATAGAGTCATTTAAAGTATTTAGAACAATATTCTACTCAGGGCCGTGTTAAGCTTTTTGGCGCCTTGGAGCACAAATAAAAGTTTAGAAATCAAGCTCGAGGCGCCCCTTGATTTTACTAAGCCGTGGCATCCAGAGGCAAATATCTCTTTCAACCCCCCCCCCCTTTAACACAACTGGTTCTACATGTAAAAATAAATAACATTACTTTTATATAACTTACATTATGAAATAAAAAATAAAATATCCTACATTTCAATAACAGGGTATTCCTGAATTTTAAAATGTATACAAATAATTATTTATTTAGTTAAATTTAATTAGTTATGGATAGAATGTCGTAATTCACTTTGCCAGTTCATTGAAGAAAACTGCACACATTTGATAAATTTTTATGAAAATGATAGGCTAAAAAAGGTAAGTTCCTTTTCAATTATGCACCAACTTGTTTAATTTTTTTAAAACTAAAATATTTAGGTTCAAGATACACTGTATAATTTGCTAACTTTGTTCATAAAAATACACCATCCAAAATGCCTCGATTTCAACTATAAAGAGTCATATACTTATAACAAGAACATGTGGATTGTTCAATTACATCAAATATATGAATTTGTACGTCGTGAAATACAACAAATAAAAAATAATTCTAATCCCAATTTTTTCAATTACATTTCGGAATTGTCTGTTACAATTTTTTGTACAGTAAGTTATTGTTTTTTACTCAAAAAATGATTTTTAAATACAAACATTGTTATTTAGGTATATTTTAATAAATTACATTCATCAAGACTGGTTTTAGATGAATGTTCTACTCCAAAACGAAAAAAATATGATATTAATGTATTATCCTTTGTAGATGATCTTACCAACTTAAAAACATCAGAAATATGTACCAGGTAAAATTATAAATTATTTTAAATATAAAATATAACATAAATAATATCAYATCATGTCTAATAAATAAATTTCTAGACTTAATATAATTACAAAACTACTTGAAAACCATTCATTACCATTTCATGATACGGATTACATAAATTTGTTAGAAAGTATAATCAAATGCTTAAACTCTTATAAGGATACCAAATCAACAAAATACTTAATTATGTATGTTCATTGTTTATTAGTTATTTCAGAGCTTCTATACTTATTTTCTATTTACTATTAATTTATAATTTAGTTGTTGCCATAAATTAATTAGATCAGATAAAATTTGCAAATTGAATCAAATTGGACTTTTCTTTAAGACTGTTTGGACATATGCATTAAAGTAAATACTGTTTTTATGATACTAAAACTTTTAAAAAATACTGCCCCTTTTATCCCTCATTTATTACTTATGTATTTATTATTATTTTAGAACTGTATTATCAAATGAAAATTCTGGTGTATCTCATAATCTTTTGCAGTCATTAATTGTGTTAATAGATTGGCAAGATGAAATGTATTCTGATATACTTAGACTATATTTTAATAAAACAGTAAAAATTGATGATTCTAGTTTGAAAACTTTAGTTGTTTTATTTAAAACAAGGGGATTTTGCAGTGCTTCTTTAAATAAAGCAGTGAGTATAACATGCTATAATAAATTACCAGTATATATTTTTATGTATCTAATTATTATGTTATTTATAGAACATGATGTTATTGCTCGATTGGCTGTTACCACTTAAGATATCAGATAGCTTAATAGTTGAATCATTCTCTAAACTGGATCCCTATCTTTTATTTGAAGTAATTGATTTAATATTGACAAAACCTAGTATTAAAAAATCATTTGTGAATCACAATAATTTTAAAACAAAAAACTCTAACAATTTCACATATACATATTATAATATAGCGCTTCAAGATAGCCCAAATCTTCAACTAAAATTTACTGAACCTGCAATAAATAAAAGTATAAAATGTTTAACATAAGAATTTTATTGAGTTAATAAATTAATGGTTATTTTTAACAGAATTAAGACAATCAATTGATGAAAATATTTTTGAGAGATTAATTAATTTCATAGAAAAATGCATAAAATTAAAGGAAAAAGCAAATATTGTAACACTTCAATGTTTTTTTTCCTTGACTAATTTTCTATGTTTTCTTGAAAATCAATTTCCTCAATTCAATAATGATTTTAATGAATTTAGGTGATTATCAATAATAAATATTTTCATAATTTTGAATGAATATTTTACATTTAATAAGCATTATTGAATTTATTTGTCTCCACAGATTATATAAATTTAAATACATGGAGATAGTGAATAATATAGTTTCAGAACTCAAAGCTGATGTAAACCAACTGAATAATGAAGCATTTGTTAATGTGTGTTCATTATTTCATAAACAATTGCAATTGGTTGATGGTATAATAGTAGATGATTTAATGAATCACAAAACAAATAAAGTTATCTTGAGTGAACTTTATAATTTAAGTAAATTGAATGGTAATAATATTTTTTTCGTTACATTTCATTATACAATAAGTTATGTACAATTTAGTGTTATATTATGTCATTGTGTTTTAGATACAAATACTATGTATCAAGTGTTAAATTATGATAATCTCACAAAAGAACAAAAACTAAGTATTCAAGCAATTAAGGCATTATTACAGACTTGCTTGTTCAAAGTTAAGTATTTCATAAAAATAACTACATTTTTATTAAGAATTTTTAGATCTGTATTGTTATTTATTTTATTTTTAGCCTACAATTTAGAGATAATTGTTATTTATTTGATCATTGATGTATCTTTCTGAAAATAATAAAATAATACTATTATATTTTAAAAGATTTTTTTGGAAAATTTACTACTCGGCATTAAATAATTTTTCAGTCTAGGAACCATTTTTATATGATTATTAATATTTAATGTTCTTAATAATTATTAGTACCTATTTATATATATTTTGTAAATTTTATTTAATGTGACAATGTCATAGAGATAATTTGGATTCTATTTCAATTGATCCCATAAAACTTTTTAAGTTTTTTAATAAATATTATTTGGTTTAGGTTTTTATAAAAATATGATTCTAATTAAAGGTGGATTCTATTAACTAGTGATAAATAACAGTAAGGAACTCAATTTGACCTTATTGTTTTTTATTTTAAATTTAGTTTTGCATATTAATTAATTACACAATTCTATTTGTACAGGTGAATATGGTTATCAAAAATGTTTATTAGAAACAATAGTAGAAGACTTAAATGAATTAGAAGGTTCAATTTGTCAATCATATGCCTACTTCAAAGTACTATAGATTTATACTAATTATATAATAATGTATTTACATTAAATTTAGATCAGTGGTGCCGAAGTGTTTAAAATATACTATCACGTTGTACATCAAGGGGCCCCATAATCCCCCCTATCTTTTTTTTTAATCATCAGATGCAAATCCAAGCATCTACTTATTAGTAATGTAATGTTTAATTGTATATTTTTAAGTTTTAAGTTTATCCTGGATGCAGTACGCGAAATTATCTCATAGTATCCCCTCCCCATCTAAAAAATCTACTACAACATGTTGATATATCATCTATAAATTGGGTGATTGGCACTACTGAATCAGGTTATTTTGTTCTATATTTGCACTTTGTTTCTTAAGTCTCAAAACCCTAATTATAAAAAAAAATAATAATAATAATAATAAAATAAATAAACTCAAACCCTAATTTCTTGTCAGGTGGCACTGCTGGGGGCCTTCCTTTTCTGTAATTAATGTTATTTTTTTTTCTTTTTCTTTTTAAGTCACCACACTTACTTATTATACACTGTATTTATAGATTGTAAATACAYTTTTATCTTCAATAAAAAAAAAAAGTCTCATTGCATATCAGCAGATATTTGTTAACAACTTTCAAAGGAAGGGGCTTTGTAAAGAAAAAACATAGACTTATAAGTGTTATGGGCGGATTTTAAAATATTTTTGGAGATGCCTAAAACCCTTCAAGTTCTCTAAATATCTGCTTATGCCTTGTATGTTGTACAAATATATTTTCAATTATCTAGTATCCATCAACCTGGGTAATCATTATTTCCAATAGGTACTCTTCTTATCTTCTATACTATTTATATATTTATAATTTTACTATATCATGTTATTTTTGTAAATTATTTGAATATTTACGAATAACCAAAAAAATTTATTTTAAAAAACTAGAAAGATTTTAGACAAAATTATTTCTAAAACATTTTTAAATAATTAAATTAATCACAAAATATGTTTTATAAAAAAAGATCATTGGGCAATGTAAACTAGTTAAAACTTTTTTTTAAAACTTTCCCAACCTTTTAAACCACTAATATTTTTATCATTTTTAATGTTGTTCATACTAAGTATAGATAATTAATTGTTAAACAAGAACATTTAATTTTCAGTTTACCAATTTCCTTCATATAGCTTTCAGTTTGGAAAATTTAACAATAGATTTGATAGTCAAAATGAATAAGTTTATTAAGCAACTAGCCAAATCTTGGTGTTCTCGTCAAGAAGGTTTTATCCAAATAACTCAACTTTTAAGTGGTAAACTAATTTGTTAATATTTTATTTCATGTATAATATAATATGTTTATATTACTTTAATTATTTAATTTTAGATGCACTTGAARTAACTACTAAAAATAAATTAGATAAAGTTTGCACTACTAATCTACTTATGTTAATTTGGTCATTACAAAAAATAACTACTACCGAAAATTGTGGACCAAAAATGGTTTGTGCTTTTGTTGACTTACTTGGACATTTTGCATCTGTAAGCTAATTTATTTAATTTTATAACTTTTTTTCTTTAAATATTAATATTGTATTTGATGTAACCCTAGAAAAATAATGGAAGTTTTGGTTCGACTTGGAATATTGATACTAATGTGGTACAACCCATGAGTCCAAAAAATATATTGTTTTATCTAGACAGTCCATTTTTTCAGGTTTGTTTCAATTGCATATACATTTAAAGTTGATTTTTAGACCTTTGATTTAATTTTAACTTAATATTACAGGTGAGAACTGCTGCTATTAGATGTATGAAAGTAATGTGTGATGTTTATGAAAATATTCCAAATACATATATAATATGCTATGAAGAAATGTTTGACATTATATTACATAAACTACAAGAAGGATTTATTGTTGATGTAATTTTTTTACTATTAGATTATATTATTGTGTTATATTATTTGAAGAACTATTTAAAAAATATTTGTAGTACGATATATGTGAAGAAGAACGTGAAGACGAGTATACCAATAGAATTTCTACTTATTTATTATGCATGCAATCATTAATAACGTCAAGTGTTAAGTTTCGAAAAAAATGTTTATTCGAAGTTCTTCAAACAGTTAATATTAAACAAATTAACCTAGGTTAGTATTAGTTTTAATAATGTTTAATTTTTAAATTAAATATTATTTGGTTTTAGATTTGGTGATTAATCTGTTAGAATGTGTAAAAACCAAATTAGAAATGAAATCATATATGGAGTTATTAGAAAATAATTTAAAATTTTTAGTATGGGAGTGGCATTTGAAGTATTCTACTTTTAAAGTAATGTTTTAATATTCTTTATTTTTTTTAATTATTGATCTGTTAATTATTTGTTTAGGAATTTCCAGTTAAATTGTTTTCTTGCACAACAATAGAACAATTCTCTAAAAAATACCCTTTAGAAACCATCCCTATTTTAGTAATCAAAAATGACTTGGATATTTTAAATTCCATAGGTGTTCTCTGTGATTTAATTGAAGTAAGTAACATTTTCTTATTATGTATATATATATTTATTTATTACAATATTGAACCTTTGGTATTAATTTTTTTTGTTTCTAAAATCCCAATTCGTTGAATTTTTATTTATTATTATTATTATTAAATTATTTATTTAGTTGTATTGAACCATGATCTGTAGAAGTTGTTTTAACTAATTTTTATATTTAAACTAGCTGAACCTGTGCACTTCGTAGCTCATAAAAAATCCTACTTATTGTATGTCTCAAACTGTGTGTTAAATACTTAAATTTGTCACCTGTGATTATGCCAGCAGTATATTTTTTTACATTCAGATAGATAACGATTAAAATATATTAACTAATAATCTTACAATGATTTTCAATTTAGTTTATCATCATGTAATTTTATTCGTTTTATCGAGAAAAGTCTTAGACAATTCAAGTATTCAAATGAATGATATTTATTGAAGTGCATTTGGATACACAATATTTTTTGTTCTTCCTTCTGGTGCATACAATACTAAATCAGAATGTTTTTACGACACATGAGCATGCCATATAAGCTGTCCATGTAAAAAGCATGAATTTTCCAAATCCAATCCATAAACTTGTAGCAATTGTCCTTGTGTTTTGTTGCCTATCTTCTGCCTATAAGTCTATATATCTCTGTACCAAATTTTGTCGCAATGGGTCCAACCGTTTAGGAATGCATAAAATACCAATAGATAGACAGAAATCCATTTGTATATATATACAGGGTGATTTTTTTTTATCAAAGAACGCTAATTTTTYAAAAAGTATTGACTTTTTTAAAAATGTTTTTTACATAGTTTCAAGTTGTTAATAAACCATCGTTTTGACAAAAAAATTATTCTTATCATTTTTTAAGTTTTTTACTTTTTTGAATGACAACATAGAGTTTTAATTTCATATTCCARAGCAGAATATTATTCTAATTATTTTGATTCATAAAAATCGAATTTAGGACGAGTAGTTTATGAGTTTTATGTATTTAAAGTTTAGACAAGCAGAGTTGTGGACAAACATTTTGTGGGGTAACCCCGCACCAATCCACTCTGCCAATCTATAAATACTTATAACTCAAAAACTAATAGCTCTAAATTCGATTTTTATGGATTTAAATACTTAGAAAAATATTCTGCTCTGGAATATGAAATTAAAACTCTATGTTGTCATTCAAAAAAGTAAAAAACTTAAAAAATTATAAGGATAAAAATATAATTTTTAAAAACGTTGGTTTTTTAACAACTTGAAACCATGTAAAAAAATATTTTGAAAAAAGTAAATACTTTTTTAAATAATGAGTCTTCTTTGATAAAAAAAATCACCTTGTATATATAGATGTGTTACTAAGGATTATTATGGAATATGGACTATGGTTACCAGGTGTTTTATTTTCTAGGCAATGGCACATCATAGTCTGTACGTAGCAAGTAACATTGTGCACTCTGGGGTTTGCAAAGGGATTTCCTCTCACTCATAACCCTCTCCTCCTCCTAATATTTATTATTATTATATTAATAAATATTATGTAAACTATAGCTTATGTCTTAGATATTTATCAAAAGTGTCAATTTACAGGAAAACTTTCCTGTTATATTTTCATATTTGTTGGCTATTAATTTAGTAGAGGTACCATTACTTAATCATGATGCAATTAAAAATCTCATTAAAAATCAATTGGGTGAAATGCATTTTAATGAACTAATAAGGTTCCAGTACTCAGATATAATATTACAATTTATCCAAATGGTTGTCATAAATACTGAGCAGCCAATTGTTCCAATACAAATTAGCAGCGATCAGTTTCTGATTTTAATTAATATTTTTCAAGTAAATAATTTGTCTACTTATTCTATTTATTTATATTACTTATTAATTTATGTTCTGTTAACTATAGGAGACATATGTAAGAAGTAACAATCCTTTTTTTACTCACATGGCTACAAAAAAACCCAATTGTATTCAAATAATTGTTCACATATTGTATGTGAATATTTTCAAAACTTTAACATCAGAATTATGGTACAAATATTAGTTTGCTTTTAAATATTAGCTTATTATTTATTTTATTATTTATTTTGTAGGTATCAGTCATTTTTCCAGTATACAATTTTTATGAAGGCTCTTATCGGTCAATTATTAGATTCTAATCAAATAGATGAATTTTCTCATTTTCTAATTAATCAATCTGTACAGTCAATTATCACTTTATTAAACCAAAAAAAATGTGAAATGCATTATTATGCTATAGAATATTTAGAATGGTTATTTATTAATCGAAGATGCATTTTAAAATTTAAAATTAGTCAAATTGGATCTCTGACATCAACTCTACGAATATTGACTAAAAAGCAACATTCCTTAAAAGAAAAATTATTACGTCTATTAAATATTCTTGAAAACTTCAGTAATCAAGTTATTGATTGTGAAACAAATAAAGAAAATAAAACAACACTACATAAAGATATCAATTCTTTTCTTTCTCAACAAAATGAAAACACTAACATAGTTCAATCTTTACAATGTTTAAGACAAAAGGTTAGCCAGTACTCAAATAAATTTTACAAAATAGTAAATACATAGACATTTTTTTCTTTTAGCTACAAACAAATGAAAAAGAACTTCAATGTATGTACCAAGAACTGTTAAATATGCGTGGTTTTTCAGAAGATTGCGTTAAAAGCATTTTACATTGCTTAATTTGTACACTAATAAAGCTTACAAAATGTGATGAATTTGAAGTATGTATTCAAGTTATATGTATATAATAACCTTGAAAATGTTTACAATTATTGTATTATTGTATTAAATTATTTCCTTTATTCATTATTTAATATGTTTGTATTTTAGATTCAAATCTTAGCTGCCAGTTGTTTGGGTATATTAGGTCCAGCTGATTTAACTACCTTAATACTGCAACCAGAACCTGAAGTATTGAGATTAGAATGCCATATATCTCTAGAATACTCATTTATAAAGCATATAGTTGAATTGGTTTTAAATTACTTAAATGACGATAATGTTTCAGTTTTGGAATCAAGTAATATGACCTTATTTCAAATTATGGCAACTCGTGAAGGAAAAAGTTTATATGGTAATACAACTAATAGCTTTCATTCAATCATTGTTCAATTGTATTAACCTTACATATTTTAAATGTAATTAAAAATTTAGATGAATTAGGTGCAAAGGTTTTATACCCATTTAAACATGAATATTCTCAAATAGTAGAATTGGATGTTGAATTATCATTTAATATTCAACAATTTAATCTACTTATTGATAAAAATGAAATCTGGTGTCCAATAGATGAATCCATCTCATACAATAATTGGATTACAAACATTACAAAACATTTATTGGAAACACTTGAAGGCTTTTGCAAAAGTTTATTGCCTATTGCCGAAAATAAAGTAAAAACTATAAAATGATATATTTACATCTATGATATGAATTAATGTAAATATAATTTTAGCCTGTCTTTTGTGAAAACATTTTACCACATCTAGTTTATTTCCTTCTTGAATACAAACCATTGACACGGCCTGTATTAAATAAACATTTGAACTTTTTTTTTCTTAAACATTATAAATTGAAAACAGAAAAAAAAAGTGAAAAGATAAATGGAAATTCTTATCAAGGTAATATTACAAATAATTATTTATAAACAGTATAGATTTGTATTAAATTCTCTAGATAACTATATCACAATTTATTATATATGAAATTATTTTAATTGTATATTTAAATATTTAGTTTTCTAGGTTAGGTTAGGTTAGGTTAGTTCTCTTGTTGTAAATGATAGTATAATACAATAAAACTTCCATATAACGGTCAGCGAAAGGACTGTACATAATTACCGTTATTTAGAGATGGCTGCCCTATAAAGGTGACTGTTAACAGTAGTTCAACATCTTCAAGGTAACCGCTATATAGAGTCCATGCAAGTTTTAAAAATAAATTATTTAATAATTCATATGAATATGGGTATTTAAAAATGAATTTATGATTTGCGAAATACATACTATAGGTACTGTTAACAATTTTAAAAGAATCTCAAGCTTTTTTTAAGTATGCACTAAAATTTAAAAATTGAGTTATATTAGTTTGTTTTAGATTCATTTGATTACTTGAAAAAATTTTTTCAGAATAAATTTCTGCGGTTTTTAACAGATAATAACCATCTATGTCATCTTTTTGAAGAGTGAAAGCTGATAATTGTTTTATTTGATTTAAAACCTCAGAATAGTTTGATACATTGTACTTTGGTTCTTTAGTCTCTTCATTTGTTTCCTCCTCGTTATTATCTGCTGTTATAGTGTTATGAATGACTTGATATCAGTACTATCTTCTTCAGTTCTCAGATTTTTTCAACCAAAAAAAAACTCTTCACCTTGCATATGAGTTGGCAGCATATTAATTGTTCACCAACATTTTTTTTCGTTTTCAAGATCTATGTTATCTAAATCTACATGCAAATTTTCCAAAATAAAATCTGATTTTTTAAAACATTTAATAACACAATGGTTTGTTATTTGTTTTACAGACTGTTTAATCCACATCTAAGTGTCTAATACAGTTATGCTTTTTGCTAGTTCATCAGCATCTTTTATTACGTCGATCTATGATAATATTCATCTAAGTTTTATTTATCGGTAAATAACTTTAAAATTTTGAATTATACTTTGATCTAGAGGCTGACAGTGTGTATGTGATGGTAAAAATTCTAAGCTTATGTTTTGTAATTTTAAATGAGAATGTAATTTACATTATCTAAAACCAAAATTATTTTACATATTTGTTTTTTCATTTTTTTGTCAAACTCCATCAACCACTCAATCATTATACATCATGTCATCCATGCTTTTTTATTCGCTTCCCATATAGGTCTAGACCAGTGCTTCTCAACGGGGGCGATATCCTCCCCTGGTGGGCGGTGAGCTCGTTTTGGATGTTGGGGAGCGGTGATCTAGACTCTAGACGTAGTTCCACATTCTTAAAGCAACGAGGTTTTTTTGATTTGCCTTTAATTAGTTTTTTTTCAAATTCACCTAATAAATTAACACATAACATCATGACAGTSAATCTTTCTTCAGACTTTTTCCCAGAAGTACTAATTTCATTTTTAAAACTGTGGTTTATCCGGAAGAATTTTATAAAATAATCCTGATTCATCTGCATTAAAAATATTTTGATGCTCATAAGAAGAAATTAATTGTTAAACTTTTATACGCCATTCATCCACTGTTTCCTTATCAACCAATTTGGTCTCACCACAATCCACTTTAAAAGAAATGTAACGTGATTTAAATTTATCAAGCCAACCATTTTATGCTTTAAAATGTTCACATTCAAATTCTTTACTTACTTCTAAAGCCTTCTCTTTAAGTATTGGTCCACTGACTGTAATATTTTTAGCATAAGCTGCACAAATCCATTCGTATATAACTTCATTTATATTGTCTGATTCGGTTTAACAACGTTTTATAGTTTTCATATGATCGTTACTATGGGATTTCCACAATTTTAAAATCATTCTTTATTTTTTTTAAGTCAGTGGCTTAATATCTTCCTATTAAAAATTATCAGCAAGAGTATGTGCACTCACATTTTCTTTTTGGTAAAATTCTAACAATTTWATTTTTTCCGCTAAAGTTAGATGTTTACGTTTAGAGGTCATGGAAACTATAGTACAAGCGTACTTCAAAATGTTTTCAACTTACTTAACACTATTGATGAAATACACAGTCACAAACAAGTGTTTGTCGCGTCATCAACATCATAAATTGACCGTTAATTAGAGTGCTTGTTATATAAAAGTATTAATGTATTTTAACCATAACACTCGTCAGGACCAAAAAAAAATTACTGTTACRTAGAGCCATAGAGGTGACCATTACGGAATTTACGGAAGTTTTACTGTAGATGCCATTATAGTCTTACTATGTCATTACTTCATAAACATTCTGTATGTATAAAACATTATGTACTAATATATTATTTAATTGAGTCTATATAGGTATTGATTGTTCTAGTTTTGACTGGAACAAATGTAGTTATTAAGTAACCATATAAAATATTACTTTTTTTCTTGTATGTAGATAATTAAAATGTATAAAAACGATCGACTCTGTCACAATTTAGATACAGTGATCTAGCTATATTCAACATAGAAAGATTAATTTATAACTTATGAATACCTAATGGTAATAATATCTTAGGTTTTCTAGATCAGGCATATAAATTTATAAAATTAAGATGCATACAGTATAATAAAAAAATAAATACTTATTTAATATTTTATTGTTTATGTTCAAATTTTTAACATATTTATTTTATAAGGACGGAAGAGGACCTATTGACTATGAGCTCATTTTCAACTTTGATTCCATTCAATTTTTTGTGATAACTAAAAACTAGTCAGTGGCATTCATTCTCATAAAAGGTGGTGTTAAAAAGACAAGTTCCGCGTGCATGGGTTAATAAAAACCTTAATTTTTTTAAGAGTTAATTAAATTAAATTTTTTAATTGAAGTCTGAAGAAAATATTACCTTTTGTTTTTAAAACCATATACTGTTAGTCATTTGATATGCTACCTACTTACCTTCACATATTTATCCAGTTATAAAAAATATTGTATTTAATTTAATTATCAATAAGCAATTCAAGTCAGAAACCATGTTTTGTCAGTAATGTTCTGTGATACTCTGAACATATCTTTATACCTACTATATTACCTATTGATTGTTACAGTTTATGATGCCGTTGAAAATAATATTTATCATAACAAATCAGCTGTACAATGTCTTCTAAGCATCATTAATTTTATTAGACTTCAACAAAACAATCCTTTACAGTAACTATTATTTTTACATAACTTAATAGTTTTAAAAATGTTATTCCTTTACTTAATAAGAAACAAATTAAAAGATTTTTTAGAATTGTGTGATATCAATATACTATTAATAGTTTTGTATTTTTAGAACAATTTTAGATATAGATTACTTATATGTATCCCAAGCAGCTCAATTTTGCTCTGCATATTTTACTTCTATCCAATATTTAGAGCTATGGTGTGAAACTAAATTTAAGTAAGTTATTGATTTTATTATGTTTATCTCAGGCCTTGTTGATTGTAAACATTATTTTACGAAGTTCTACTAAAAAATAGTATATTTTTGGTATTTTAATTTTTTTAACTCATGATGAATCAAAAAAATTAATTTTATAAATTGCAGTTAGTTATTAACTAACTTAATTTATTAGAAAAAAAAACATTTTAATAGAAAACTAACAATTATTATTTTTGAATTTACTAAGATTATTTTGTTAAAGTAATTCGTTCTATGATCAACTAGGCTGTACTTTTTTTATTGGCTTCTTAATAGTTGCTATTAACCATTATTTATGGAATATCCTTATTGTATTTATTTACATAAAAGTGAACACGTCATAATATTGTATTACAAATGATTATCATAATTTTTTTTCACATTTAGAAAAATGAACAAAGTTAAAGAGTCAATGGTATTTAATCCTGTGGATGTGATCACAGAAATATTACCAGAAGAAGGACTTTTGTTGCAATCAATTCTCAATGAAGTATGTTATTAATCTATTAATATTATTCTAAATATAAAGTACTACTTATAATTATTAACAATCATAAATACGAATTGATGCATATAATTTTATAAATGTATAATATAATAGGTAAAAAAGCGGGAAAGTGAATATCGCTCTGCTGTACAGTAGGTTACAAGTGGATTACTGTAATGGATGGAATTAAATTTGAATCCAATGATATTATATCATTATATACGAAAAACGATT